CTTATGTCTAAAGTTATTGTTTGCTAGGAATAGGCGGTTATCTGAGCATAGATGCAACAGACGGTCGTCATTACCTGTTCTCTCAGCCACGACACCATAAGATACACTTAGGTGTCTTTCCTTTTCACTTAGTCTACCTGCCCCTCTGCAGGCAGCAGTACGACTTCGCTCTCAGACCCTGGGTAGCTGCGTTTAGTCTCATCGTTCTTAAATTGACCTCCACGGCATGGTCAAACCTTCAGGAACATATGTTCCAGCTAATATAGCTCGGTTGGGTCATCAAGATAGGCAACTGTGACCACGTCAAGGTTGTAGCTACGGTCGTTCTGATATTATCTCGGAAAAGTTCTGTTAAGCAATGAATTTGATCCATACTTCCTTATTTGGTATTTCATCACGATGAGGTACATACAACGCATTTGTTACTATTAAAACGATCACCTGCAGACAAGTTTCCAGAATACAATGAAGATAATCTATGGAGTTAATCACATAATTGAAAGAAAAACTTGTTCCTACCAAGACCACGCAAATGAAATTCGTATTTTAACTAGTCAGTGTTTTGAGATTTTCGAAGAATTCCATTATAACTTTAATATCTGTGGATGTGTATGGGTATTTTCGAGCGATCAGCTGAAGGTTTATAAATTTGGGATCACTACCTGGATATTCAAGAGTGGTAAATTCGGCAGATTTAGGGGCGTTTTGTAGGGAAATTTACTCCACAACTTTCCGTGGCTACCTTTTGTTTTGAAGTATTTTACAGAATATTTCAAAATGCAAAGGACCCTGCATTGAGTTCCAGCCAAAAGACGGCATGAGGAAATCACCATCTATTAAGTCGGCTATAGGTAATGTTGATGTGAATGCGAATATTTGATATAACTGATCATCCGTTGCATCAACAGCACTTAATGATCTTTGATTTAAGGAAGCAAGTTGTCATAAACTTCCTGATACAGGCCACTATTTGTCGTGATGAAAAACGCACCATTCGACTGTTCACAATACCTTTGAAAGATTATAGTCGTCAGTTTATGAGATCGCACATATATTATACATCCTCCATCCTTACCAGAATTTCTATCATTGTGGTATATTTTGTAGATATCCTTACAAAGTTCTGAATCAGAAATTTCAGGTGTGCAACATGTTTCATCAATAGGAAAACAGTGCAGATTGACTAAGTAAACTATAGATTTTAGATTGGCTACCTAGTTTCAGATAGAGTGGGAACTAAATATAACAGAAAGCCCCAATGAGATTGTATATTTCACCTGCTAATTTAATTAGTAAAGAGTTATTTTGTTCGACATTAATTTAGTTAGGATTTAGATATAGTTGTTCACGATTGTACTTTAGTGATGACTTGCTGCTAACAAACGATACGGCAGCTGTTGTCACCAAGTACCTAGCGTTAGTGCAAAAATCGTGCGCGTAAAATAAGGTAACAACCTAAAATGACGGCGAGGAAATAAGTGAAAATGCAATCACCTGCAATACGGAGTCTATTATTATAGCTATCCACCATTTTGAAGCGTTCTTGCAATTATAATATATATTAAAAGACATTAATAATAGTATTGCAACTTGATAAAAATGAGGATAGATGCATAATAGACTCAACGTAATGGACGTCTTTGGACGAAACGTCAGCTCACCAATTTTAGTGATGACAGTCGAGATTGACAATGATCACCACTGGATACTAATTACTATCCCGCCAAGATAATCAGAAGTAAATCCAGGTTAAAGAATATATTTGAAGGAGAAAAAGGGCGATACAATCAGCAGCAAGTCGTCAATGATGGCAACAACGCAAAAAAGAAGGTTGTGCGTAAGTAAGTGTTTTTAGTACAATTAAACAAAACGAGTACAATCATAAATATCTACTTTTTATTAATTGCTGTTACGGGAGAAACGAAGACATTTTGCTGATCAAAACCTTCATGTATAAATATCATTAATTTCACTGTTTTTGGGTACATTTGTTTTACTTAACTTGTGAACTTGTTTGAATTATTATTTGCGGACATTTTGGACTCCCGTTTCTCTTTGTTGTTCGTTTGCAGTTTTTTGTTCCAAGAGCTAATAAATTAGAAGGTAATTGTAATCATTATAATTATTGTTGTTAGAACGACATTGGTCGTCTATTTGTAATAAAGCATTTTGGTCGAATTTGTGATTTGGAATAAACTTTGTTATCTACTTTGGAGTTTCGTTCTTGGTTTAAAATTTGGGACCGTGAATTACAAATAGTTCGACAACCGTGCTTCGTAGAATCAACGGGCAAAAAACTGGACGTAACATTGCGTTTCCTTGGTAGAAGTGTGTGTTCCTCTACAAGCCAATGATCTTCGAAAATGGGATGAGACAGCCACGGAAGTGAATACTGGCGTATCTTTACTAAGATCCACGACGGCGAGTGAGGTCAGATGAGTCAAGTGACTGGATGATGTGTCTGAGGACCATTGAAGATGGGTAGCTGTTAAGCTACTACGACTGAAAATGATCGCTAGTGACAAAAAGTGATTGCTATGAGTGATACCTGATCTTTCAGAGGATTGCTTCAAAAAATTAGGAGTATTGCTCTGAATAATTTGACTCCGCAAAACATCGCTGTTGAGGTGGTGAGATTAAAAAATGTTGAGGTATTTTGCCTATGCAAGGGGCCATGCATTGTCTGAGGTTGTTTGATTCAGAATGCGTCTAAAAATATTAGGTAAACGCCCAGACAGACTGATGTCGTAAATTTTATGTGCATTATTATGCATTTTGGCCTTGTAGTTAGTTAAGGATATTGTATTCTATAGGTTAGAGGTATAAAATGCCTGAGTGTATTGTTGGGAGCTCTTTTTGTGTATCCAGGTTCTTGAGGTTTATGGGTTAACCAGAGTCTGACTCTAGAGCTCATCACACTACATGATTTTGAATGAAATCCTTATCACAAATAGGCTGTTTATCGACTCCACCCGGAGAACAATACCAAGAATTGCCTCAATGGATGCAAATATTCATCATTTTTAACTCCTCGGAAATTACAAGACGTTTACAGTACATCATAGCTACAGCCCGCTTTTGTAACACAAAACCCACCAAAATCACCATATTTTAAAATTGCACATATTATTCTTCCCACTAGTAGTTCTGTTATCTTGCTTCGTTGGTGAAATTCAGTTCCCTGGGTAATATGCCACATGATCTGCAACAGATTGATCTTGTCTGTATATTGGCTTACCTATTCCAACCTATATTTGTTGTTTTAGGTGTTCTAAGCCACTTATTTCGAGCTGTACACAGAGATTTCAAACCTAATCATGAGTGCCCTATTTCTCCATCAAAGAGCGCAGTTAGTGAAATAAAACAGAGGATAATGTAAGTAATTATGTATTCGCAAACTGGAAAACAACAGAAGTATCATCCAGATTACCAGGAAAGTGCTCTCACAACTGATATGCATAGGTTTTTAAAAATGATGTTGTTAGGACTTTGAAGATTAATAAACGCGCGTTTTTATTCGCTGCACAGTGAACAGCGAAGGAGAAAATTACGTTTTGGGGATTTCAATAGGATAACATAAAATACTCGGAAATAAATGTTAGTTGTGGACATAACTAATGAATCAAACCGTGGTTTAAGCGCTTACCACGTGATCTGGTCTGATGTGTCTGTAAACTGTCTCCGTTGCATGTGACCTGTCAGTTGAAAGACATTGCTATTCTATTATATTAACGTAATTCATAATTTTATTCATTTCCATGAGACACATCATATTGGTTGGTATGTTTGGTCATTTCACTTAATAGCTGTAATCGCCTTAATTGTTGTACTAGTCAGATTGTTTTTATGTTAAGAAACAGATATAGTTTAAAGACAAGTTGTCCTTGTTCTGACTATAGCTTTCCCTAGGACTCTATACTCGCCATAATCGCGTTTACTGTTCTAGTAGTACATCTGCAGAACAAATTAAATCCTACAATAAAATCAAAGCCCTATCTACTCAAAGTGATCACCTCCATAATGAAGGAAAATGCTTTTTGTTGCAGCTTATGAGGTAGAATCTTATGGGGCTATATTATCTTAAATTTTTCCCGTGGAAGAGGCCTAAAAACCTATGAAATTAAAAAGAAATACGGAACACGTGCCAGGTATTTATTAAATTACTTTACGATTTTCAGGTATGAATAATATCTAATATCTACTAGCTAATATCTAGTCAACTTATCTATCTTATCAGAATTCAATTAGAAACCACACGCATAGATCACACAGTGTCACGGTTAATAGCTTGATGGGATAAAGATGCATTGTAACAGGTTTATTCCTCCTTGCCTCTGAACGTCTGTAAAACATGTTGAAAGTTGCACTGGTTCTCAGAGTACAGCTTTCAGAAGACACTTGATAAACACGTACTCACATACGAATTATCACCTCCCTCGTGAACAAGCTGTACCTGATGTATGCCTTGAGTCTTGCTAGTTGTTATTATTGCCATCTCATCAGATCACTAACTTGATCTACCTCGCCTACTATATTTGTTTCCTCTCTCTTGCCTACAATTCGGTACTCTAGCGCAATCTTCAATACCAGTCAATAAACCAAATTATCCATTTATTTACTCAGTTCTGAGATCTTAACAACAATAGAATTTACTCCGGTCTGGTATTGTGATATTCGTTGGTATCCAGCAACACTACTGCCCTGAAACAAACGTTTTCATTCAAATCCCGAGACATTACCGAACACCTGGAACCGTACCGAAAGAACAAGAATCGAGCGCGAAGAAATCAAATTGGTTTACACTAGCTCGGGAAAAAGATATTGGGCGTTGGATACAAACTAACAACCAACTGCCAACTGACTAGAATTAGACAGTCGAGTGACAAGAACCTATCCTCAAGATACTGCCGAACACCTGGAACCGTACCGAAGAAGAATCGAACGCAAAGAACTCAAATGAAAAATTCCAGCTCGTGAAAAAGATATTGAATATTTGAAATTTTGGAGTGGAGGGCTTCTCAAGGTTTTCCAATACTTGAGTTGTAATTAGTCGTTTGCTGTGTCATCATTCATTTGTTATCTATTGCTGCTACTCCACGGGATTTTGTTCAGTAGTAGGTAATTTTCATCAATTTTTACCAGTGTTTACATTATTATAAACTTGATCATCCAGATGTTGTTCATCAACATATAACTCGGCAAACTTTACAGGGAAATATCACTACCTACCTCTATAATCTGTTGCACTGACCTTTTTATTCACACCAGCTATTCTTAGGGATTTCCCTCACAAGGTTCGCCTCTATTTCTCTTTTTGCGTGCTTTGACCAAACATTCCACCAACGAGGCCTTCCTAGCTATTATCTAACCTGGTCTCTAACTTTTGATTATCATCGTTCTAGTCAAAGTAACTGATATCAGTACAAAAAAGTCACTTGATACCCAGATTCACTAGAATCTTGTGACCACTCTAAGGTGCTTCTAGCTAACTAGTAAGCATGCATAAGTTTTTGTGTAAGCCGCATTTGTTGTCGAAGACTGACATGCACGACTTCGCTACACAAGTTGATATAATAAGGTCAAAAAATAAAGCTACAATTCCAACAGTCGTATGTTTTCATGTAAAACTACTTACCTGGGTCAATAAATTGACTACACATATTGTACTACTGTTTTCATTCAGGTCATGATTGAATAAGAATTATAATAACGTTATGTTCACTCTTTTTTTTCAACACCAGTCAAGTTATTTGTATTTTTATGATTTATATCCTGGTTGATTTTCAGTCAAACATTCGTATCCTCGTTGACTTTTACCCACATTAATACTCAGGACTTCGGTCCTGTTACATTATGATCTATTATGAGCTCAAAATCAAGGTAAGTTATTAAATTGAATGTAGACAGAGTTTTAATGTAAATTTTATACAGGGACTAGTGAGTAGCGCTGTGTCATATTTCAGCGATAAGTTCGTTCCTACCTACTATTAGGCCAAGGTTAGTTAAGTGAGTGTCCTTTATTGCTTCTAAACACCCATCCATAACTATCCCGACCATAACTGCTACCTTCACATGGTGGCTGGACTTGCCTGTTGTGATGATCCAAACGAACTATCTTGGTTGGAACATATGTTCCTGCAGGTCCTACCATGCCAGGCAGGTCGATTGGAGAACGATGAGACTAAAAGCAGCTACTCAAGGTCTGAGAGCGAAGTCGTACTGCTGACTGTAAAGGGGTGTGACAGCAGTAAGGTGTTTCCCTCGGACAACCAGCATCTGCAGCGATGCTGCCTTCTAACAAGAAAGGAAGGGTTAGAAAAGGTCTACCCTAAAAGTGTCACACCTCACCCTGTCTCACGAACTTCGTCTCCGGCGATAAGGTCGTTTGAAGTGCGAAGCTAACACTTTACAAACTTCCCATAAAAAGGCCGTACATGACCGACCTCAGGAAGTTGTCCGTTGGGCTCTTCGGTCATGCTTCCATATCGCTAAGACCAACGCTAATCAGATTTCCCTTTCAGGTTCTTCATGAAGTACCTTTCTACGGTGTGGGCACCTGGAAAGTGACATACGCGCTCTAATGGTAAAAACATAAGAAAACATTTCAACAGCGACTAGAAAGGCAGTTAAACAACCATGTAAGTGATGTCCACTCTGAGGCAGCTTGGAATGATATCCAAAAAGTAGTGGAAACGACAGAGATATTTGCCGCTAAAGAACACCATAAGATTACGTAAAAACAGTGGGTCTCTGTGACATCGACTGGAGGGATAGACGCCCGGAAACTCATCCTGTCTGGCTCTGAACGCGATGAGGAAAAGGACGCAGCTTGAACACATGCTGATAAAAAGCGTACGCAATGATGAGGACTGTCGCTCGTTCTGGAGCACATGTCTAAATTCAGATCATGCTCTAGCACGAGCGCGTATTTATCTGCGAATTCAGGTTAGAATTTCATAGAACACAAAGAATAAATGCATCTGCGACATAACAACCGGTTTTTAGCCATGTCACTCAGTCTCTAACCATCGATTATGATCATCTCGCGGACCCCAACCAGGTAGTCGACACCTACCGACATGAATCAGTCCACTTGTCAGTGGCATCCACTGAACTGATAGACGCTCGAAAACTTATCCCACCTAGCTCTGAACATAATGAAGAGCCAAGTCAGCTTAGGCGCAAACTGATAAAAAGCTTACGCGATGATCGCGAACAGTGGTGGATAGCGGATGCAAATGCGATGGTAAAGGCAGCGGCGGTAGGCAACAGCAGACTGTTGTTCCGACTTATCAAGGAAACCGCTATTAGAAATCTATCTGTTAGCGAAACCACCGAACGTGAGGTTCTGTGGCAGTCTGTCGTTAAAAGGTGTACCAAAGAAGTGCATTACGCTTATACAGGCTCTCCACTCGAAAACTACCAATCGAGTGAGAGCCTAAGACGAACTGTCATCGGAATCAGTTACATCAAGTAGTGTCCGTCAGGGATGTCCACTCTCTCAATATGTTTAACTTTGTAGTAGATACACTTTTAGAGTTAAAGTTATCATCTGATTCCTCAGTAGTGGGCCTTTTGCCCGAGACACGCTTGCTGACTTGAAGTATACTGATGACACAGTCCTATTCGGTGAAGACGCTGACAAAATGCAGAGTCTTCTGACTACTCTAAGCAACAGTGCGAAAATGTTCGGGATACAGTTCTCACCCGCGAAACGCGAAATTTTGCTTCACGATTGGGTCGCATCGGTACCTGAACTAGTGGTAGGGAGTGAAGTAGTCGAGCGTGTCGACCACTTCACTGATGACCTGTTGATTGACGGAATCTCAGCACGGATACAGAAGGCTCGATTGGCTTTTGCGCAGTCGAGATATCCGCTTGCTGACTAAAAGACGAGTGTACTGCCGAGCAGTTCGCTCTGTCCTACAATACGGATGCAAAACATGGCCAATGAGAGTAGAGGACATACGTAGATTGCTTGCCTTCGATCATCGGTGTCTCCGAAGCACTGCTCGTGTATCCTGGGACAACCGCATAAGCAAAACTGTTGTTAGGAAACTAGTTCTAGGCAAGGATGGCAGATCAATAGATGAAGTATTGAAACTTCATCAGTTGAGATGATTAGGACATGTGTTACGAATGTCTAACCACCGACTGCCTCGTCGAGCTATATTTGGCGATGTAGGGATAGGTTAGAAGAAAGCCAGTGGCGGCCAAACCAAAACATGACAGAAATCCATGAAATCGCCAACAAGTGGAATGAATCATATTGGTAGATATCGACTACCTGGTTTGGGGTTCACGAGACGAAAGTCACGAATCGTTAGACGCATTCATTCCTCCTGTTCTCTCAGATCATAACTTTCTGAATTCCTTATCACTATCTTTCTATGTTTATTCCACTAGATTCTACTTCTTGAATAATATCTTCGAACCCTAATCTCTCTTATTACTGCTAATAACTTTACTACCCCTACTACTATTGGATTTGAAGTGACAATTACATCTTTGTGCTAATGTATATTGGCAACTTGAACTAATGTACGTACGTACGAAGTTCCTCATTGCTGTTGATTGATAGAAGTCTCTAACCATTAATTTTACGGTAATTTTGCCGACCCCAACCGGGTTTTTTATATATACGCATATGGCTTAGTTCATGGTCAGTGATTTCAGGAACTTGTGCCTTGACTACCATTATGTCACAAAGCTTCAGGAGTTATTTTTCACAAATAGACTGGGATCATTTAATATTTGTACATTTTAAACCAACCCTATGAAGACCCAAGTCACTATACTGGCTTCGAGATCTTAAAAGCATTGATGAGTTGGTAGTCAAAAAATCGGTGCAGATACCAGATTTATTTGGAATTTATTGACTTGATTATCTAATTGTACCAGTGAAATATTGCACTGACTACTAAATATCGAATATGCTGCATCTCCCCTAAAATACTGTATATGGTCTTAAAAAAATATTTGTAGATTATAGGTACTTTATCGCGCTTTAAAAGCCTACTGACGTGTGGTAGAAAAATCTTGAAAACTTAACAGCTTTGTGTATCATCCTTGAAAGAGTTATGTTGAGATTCTGTTTATTTTGGGCAAAGCTTTTAAACTTTGTCGTTTACATGATGTGGTTAAATAAACTTATGCCAAACAGTTTATGATTTATTATCTTTTTGATACGTACTATTTACATATTGGGCATTTCGTTTCTGAGAATCCTTTGAGTGCAAATTTTATGGGAAGAAATGACTGTACAGTTTAAACAATGTTCACAAGTTGTTGTTACTAAAGATTTTATGCACCTTAAAATAGTCTATACTGTCTTAATGCCAAAAATAGAATGAAAATAGTGAATTAGTTACATGCTCAGAAGCATATCTTTGTATCGGTTTAGCTTGTGTGTATTTATTCTAATATTTTATTGACAGTGCTTATTATTATTACCGTTATAAGAATGGAATTGTGTCATTGTTTTAAACATTCGAAGATCTGCCATTATTTAAGGTTTAAACCTTGGGTCACTGTTGTTTCAGTAGTCAGGTGTTATCTTCAGTTCTTATCTGATGTACCTCAACCTCTTAGTCGGCAAACCATTTCCTACCATAGAATTATACTCATTCAAATGGATAGTCTAGTAGCATGTGCTGTTTGTTGGAGTGGAAATATTTTAAAAGCACTATTTTTAATCAAGATAAAACATAGTGCCAGTCAACAATATATTTCTGTCTAAGTTATATAGAGATACGTTTGTTGATTAGGTTTCCTACCATAACATATCCAGAGATCGATCAAAGTTGTCTTAATGTAAATGTTTTTTTATTGGGATTTAGGACTAATTTCTTTTTCAGCTCCCATCCTACTTGTTCATCTTGATATCGTTCTCGTTTGGTTGGATCCCTACTTGTGCTGTTTAGTGGTATAGAAACCTGCGCCGGGTCCCAAATTGGATGCATGCTTTTAGTTAGGTAATTTGTCCCAGTTTTCCAATGTGTGTCATTTATTTAACTCGCAGTAATATTTTAGATCATTTTTTATACATAATGACTGGCTCGGTTCTGAATGATCATGTTGCGCTAACTTTCACTACCAAACGGTATTGCACAATCAGTAGCAACGGCTCAAATGTATTCACTCTATTTCTAACCCTAGATTTTGATTTTCAAAATTAATGTGTTTTCTATCTCATGAATTCGTTCTTTCAGAATACAAATTTTACAACTGATACTACTACTATTACTTCTATTGCTTTGGTATTTGTCGTGGTAATTTAATCTTGCTGTTCGGATGTGGTGTGGTAACTTGGGCTAATGCACATTTGTATCAGACTCTGTGCTGATTACGTGCATGCGTTTGTGTTGAGTCTAACTAGAAAACACTAATTTCAAATCCTGCGGCATGCCATGTCTTCGGGAAAGCAATAAAAAAGTTTATACTACTCATTGGCTGCCAGGACAATAAAATCCCCGGTGTTACCTCGTCTCACTGAATAGACTTTTCAATCAATAGGTAGGTGGTCATATAAAACAATCCTCTATCCGGGCTTCGGTGTCTAGTTTTATGTCATATTTCTTGTTACCAAGTTGTCTTAGATAACGTAGTCTTATTACAATAAATTTCATTTTAGTCCTTTTACAGATTTGGTAGATTCCTCAAGTCTAGGGAAGATAGTTTACGATGGCGATGAGGTGGCTTCTTTAAGATCGTTGTTAGATAAACCTTCTAAAGCAGGACATGCAAAATTAAAAGTATTCATCCGGAATCTCAATTTACCCCCATCACATCCCGTACGTAAAAGTCTCTGGTCACAACTTTTATCCACCAAATATTCCATAAATTTGCAGGTTAGTGCTATAGTATTTTTATGTAAACTTTATCTCGTGGTCTTCAAATGTTGGTTAACTTCCAAAATTTTCATTTCAGTCGTTTGTTCTTTGTGTGTCATTTCTAAATGCTATTATGGTTTGTAAAAGTGTTTATAGTTTCGCTTATTATGCTTCCTCAGAAATGATTTACTATTCAATCTTCAACACTATTTTTACTCGGGAACCCGGTTTGTTTATATATGTATCTTTTGTTGTAGCATCGTTTTACTTACACCGACTAAATTAAAATTTGTGTCTAGAATCTCTCATCTCACTTCTGCATTGCCAATTTAATGCTTTCACCGCTTACTGACATTGTTTCTTAGGTATCAATAACCGATAACCTACAAATTCCACATCTTTCAAGTGACCAAGTTTCATAGTAATAATTTGGAGTAGAGAGGACTGCTGCATATGATCAGCATTTTGTAGACAACTACATAAGTCACCAGTGTCACACATGAAGTAAACAGACAAATATAAAATAAGTAAACCAAACTTCATAAAAATTAAGCTAATCTACACACAACCATTTCATTCAGTTTTCAAAGTAGGTATAGACAGAGATAATCCGTTAAGCATTGTTTTACATTTGATAGGCGTCAAATATCGGCTAAGTAATTTCAAATGTTTACACAATACATTCAGAAGCCCCATGCCTCCTCTATATTCATTTGGACAATATCATCTAAATACCCCTCATCGATCAAAGAGTTTCTGGACTACAGATGGAATAGAGCAAGGTTAAATCCATTCGTTCGCTCATAATAAAGTAGGATAAAAATAATAGCTGTGAACACTCTTAACGACTGTCAATTATTACAGCTATATTAAGAAATAATTCTTCATCATTCTTTGTACCATTGCGTAATTTAATATGGAGTGCCTTCAGTAACAGTCGAATTTACTAGGATCCCTTAAAACCAGACACTACTATTTTATCCAATCAACTTCCTTGTAATCATTTATATCTTATGAAGGTATTTTATACAACAGAGGATCAAAACACCAGTTTATATATTCTTGTCATACAACACAAACACTTGATGGAAGTGGTTTGAATGTTGTTGCAGCTGTATCGTTTAATATTGTACGGTCATCAATGCCATTACATATCCTGATTCGCTCCCTCCTACTATACGGATGCCAAACATGACTGTTAAGAGTAGAGGACTTTCGTAGGTTACTAGTCTTCGATCATCGGTGTCTCCGAAGTATTGCTCGTGTATCCTGGGACAACCGTTTAAGCAAAACTGTTGTTAGGAAACGAGTTCTAGGTAGGGATGGCAAATCAATAGATGAAGTAGTGAAACTTCAGTTGAGGTGGTTGGGACATGTGTTATGGATGCCTAGTCAGCGGCTTCTGCGACGAGCTATGTTTTGTGGTGTAAGAATAGGTTGGAAGAAAGCTAGGGGCGGCCAAACCAAAACATGACAGAAATCCATGAAGTCACTGACAAGTGGACTGAGTCATGTTAGTAGATGTAGGCTGTCTGGTTGGGGTCCGCGAGACGAAAGTCACGAATCGTTAGATATCTTGGACGACATGGCTCAGAACCGTTTGCAATGGCGCAGGTGCATCCACTCTTTGTGTTCTCTCAAATCGTAACCTTCTGAATTCCTCATAATCTCCATCTTTCTCCTTCTAAATTTATCTCACTGAATTATACTTTTTGAATCATATCTTCTCCATTACTACTATCGCTATCACTCTTGGATTTGAACTGACAGTTGCGTCTCTGTGCTGATGCGGTATGGCAACCTGAAGTGATGTACTTACGTACGAAGTTCTGCGTTATATCTGTCTGTCCTACCTATCCTGATAATTATTTTGCTGATTACTTGAATGGGTACAAGCTTTTCTCACGGGATGTCTTCTGAAAAGTATCAAACAAGTTGACTGTTTATTTTTGCACTCAATAACAACAGTTACTAATAGTTAGTTATTTGTATTGAGCGTAGAGCCTGTGACAAATGTACGTTTTCATAAGTTGCTATACCATGTGAAGAAAAGGAAGTAAAATCAACAAAAGGAATAGCAAAAGAATCAAAATAATGTAGTAGCAATAATAGTGAGAACATTTGGATAATTTCGTATATTGTTAGGAAAGGCATTGATAACCTATGTATGAAAGAATAATGGTAATTAATATTGAGGGGAAGATAAAGTGTAATCATATCTGCATTCTGAATAATTTCGAGTAATATCACTTAAATTTTTGAGCCACTGATCGCGTTTATAACAAGAATTCTGACCAGTTAGTCTGGATATTTCAGCGTAACTCAAATTAATAGTCGGTTTCTTCATAAAGTGATGTAATATCCTGGTTTGATCGTTTCTATCTTTCTTCTAACATCTACACGAGCAGTTATCGCGCGTCATGTTAGGCAATAGTTAGTCATAAGTAACACATCCTGTCCACCTCACTCGATGAAGATTTACAACTGTATCAACTGATTTGCTGTCTTTACCTAGTGTCCTTCACATGACTTACACAGTGCTCACTTCGTCTTTTCACAATACGTTAGCAATCGTTAGTATTATCTAAGTGAATAAAATGCTTTTAGTCTCTTCTCACACAGACACAGAGTTTTAACAAAAAGTTTAATTATTTGCTCAGGTATTTAGTTGCTTCATTGTTTTCAATCTATCTAGGTCGTTGCATGTCTCCACTGAAAAAGTGCAATTTATCTGCTATGCTTTCTTGCTCTTTAATAATGAGAGTTAATCTAAGGCATATTTCATATACCAATTGTGTTTCAGTTGGGAATAAAATCAAATGTTCTTACCAATCAGCTTTGTTTGAGTTTTCGTATGTACTAACTGACACTAATTTCAATAGATCTTGTATAATTGCTCATCAATTGTATCCTAACAATACAATAGAAGTTTACAAGCATTCATAATTAAGAGCAGTTGGGATGGAGTTTTATAGGAGCAAAGTAATGAATATGTCATATTTTAAAGGAAGGTATAGTGATATCGTGGGAGTAAACCTTTAATTATTCACTTGATCTCCACAGCATTCCATTAGTGTATGAGCATCTGTTTATATTTGTCTAGTGTCCGAGCCATTTGTTACTAGTTTTATGGATACTTATTTTGTCTCAGTTTGGATTTCTAAAAATTGCGCATTTTTTCTAACTCATCATATTTAGTAAAAAGGATAAAGTAGTTATTTTTCTACAACACATCCCGATTATTTCACTACATAATATCATCAGTTGATTTACTTCGCGTATATAATACACCACTCCTTGTTTACTGTATAAGCAATTTGCGTTGGTGGAAGTGATCATTGTAAGTTGTACTTTGATTGATAGGATGTAGATACTTTCTTGTTTGTTCTATGAGCTTTTGATACTGATTACCATATTAATTTTTTGTTGTTTATGTAAATTAGTTCATAAATCTTGTAAATTTAATCATTTGGGTTGGTCTAAAGTTACACAGTATTATGACCAACTAATCAAATGCTTGACAAAGTTACTATTCTACTGTAGATAAGATTTAGGTGTGTTTAAACAACTTTAGATGTAACTTGTCGAACATCTACATTACACTCACCAACTTATTTAATTTGTTTAAAAAGGATTGATTTGAGCAAGTAGGTCAGGTTCCGCTTAGGTCATAATTCAAGTTCTCATCTGTTTATCCTAGCTGACAGATTTTAAATTATAATTAAACTAGCTTGGGTTCTGAATAGACTTTTTTCGGGTACATCCAGCTAACGAGTCCTGAATAAGATAGGACGCGTGTCCTGTATTCCACTGCTGGCCTCAATCCAAATGTACTAAAAACTCGAATCGAAGAAGCAGTATCGAGTAAATTCTCTCAGGACGCAAAAAGATCAATAGTGACTGACCAAATGCAGTTCTTCGTTTCTACAGTGAGGTAAACAATGGCATTATTTTTGTTTTAAAGTCTATTCAGGAATTTCGTTGCTCTGTAAGCTAAATCGTAGGAAGAAAACTTTATTTTCGACTGTGCCACAGTTTCCCTCATTCTTGCTTCTGATACCTACGACTAAACTTTCTTGGATAACTAATATCATGTATACGATTTTCCGTGAAGTTTGTTTTTCAAGTAAAATTTGTTTGCATGGGAGTTATTAAGATTTGTTCTGTAAATTCTCTTAATAACTGTACTATGTAATTTTGGCATTTGTATTACATAAGTATTGACAATCGCCTTATTCAGTACTATTTTTTATTATGGCAAAATATTTTGAGCGTAAAGTATGCAGTACTGTAGCAACTCCCAGTCTTATATACTTAACTTGTTTAGAAACACGAGTATTAGAAAGATTCTCAACAGTGGTTAACTGACATTTTTATTTTCATACGTTTTTCACCTGTTTTGTCCTTCACATATCATATCTCATGATATATTTGATGCATGAATCCCATTGTAATTGCCTTTCGCTTCCCCAAAGAGCAAACGAAAGTGTAAATATACCAAAGATCATGATAATTTTGTGTAAACTTCCAAGTAATTTATTTAACGATAGGTTTTAAACTTTTTCTAAAAGCTCGTGAGTATATGAAGTTAATATAAATGGTTAGGTAAAAATGTTGTGGTTGAAGAACCAAAAAATATAGCACATCTATGTCAAATAAGTGAAGAAAATGTTTCCGAATACATGATATCCGATTAGGTTGTCCATAGTGTCTGATTGTAAAATTAACTTTGGCTAATATACAAGTCCCAACTACATGTGAACATAAAGTGTATACATCGTGTCCAGTTACTTGTAGTATTGGTCTTTCGTTGGTATATGCTTTATTTCATTTCACCTTAAATAACTTCAACATAAGTAACTCATCATACAAGTGATATATTTGCATACAATGCTGCATTACTAAAATAATGTAGTCGACGAAACTGAGGTCGTAAGTTTCTCTTATAAGGTGATCACAATTTAGAGATTGTTCTCAGTATGACTAGTGCTGAATCTGAGTCTTAGAAGTTCCTCAACGATACTTTATCTAGCATAACATTTCGAAACGAATTTATTTGAGTGTTAGATGAAAGGACAAATACCACTGATAAAGAAACTCCATTTTTGTAACTATCCTCTCTTGTGGAACATATTATTTTTGTTGCCCGATCGTAGCTGCTAAATTGACTGGAACATATGTTCCTGCAGGTCCTACCATGCCAGGCAGGTCGATTGGAGAACGATGAGACTAAAAGCTGCTACTCAGGGTCTGAGAGCGAAGTCGTACTGCTGACTGTAAAGGGGTGTGACAGCAGTAAGGTGTTTCCCTCGGACAACCAGCATCTGCAGCGATGCTGCCTTCTAACAAGAAAGGAAGGGTTAGAAAAGGTCTACCCTAAAAGTGTCACACCTCACCCTGTCTCACGAACTTCGTCTCCGGCGATAAGGTCGTTTGAAGTGCGAAGCTAACACTTTACAAACTTCCCATAAAAAGGCCGTACGTGACCGACCTCAGGAAGTTGTCCGTTGGGGTCTTCGGTCATGCTTCCATATCGCTAAGACCAACGCTAATCAGATTTCCCTTTCAGGTTCTTCATGAAGTACCCTTCTACGGTGTGGGCAGCAGGGAGGTGGCGTCCGCCCTCATACCTGAATACCGAACTGTGGTATGGAATTGTTGTTATTTAGATTTCATCATCACATAAAAGTAGCTATAGAGAGTCGGATTTACCAAAGCACATTGCTAACATTTCATTTTTACATTTGTGGATGCTTAAGGAGTTTGGTTACCATCATCAGCATTATTTTCGGACGTTAGGACTAAAGACAAACAGCTGATAGACTAACATATTGGAACAACCTAACTTTGATTCATTTGTATTGGCTATTTGAACCTTTCCACTGATGTTTGGGACAGCATTTAATCGATCCCTCTGGCATATGTGCATCCTGCGTGGATTGACTCAATATTGCCTTTAGATTTATCCACCTCTGTTAGTAAGCTGTTTGTTGTGTTTTTTTAGCGTCTCTTGTCACATTGATTCCACTGGGATATACTTCTCGGATCAATAATGTTTTTGATTACCTCTACTATTATGGGATTTGAATTGACAATTCGATCTTTGTGCTAATATAGTATGGCGACTTGAACTGATGTAAATACGTACGAAGTTCTATGTTGCAGCTGACTGACTTGTTACATCGTAACTCTTTAGATTAAATCGCAATAACATAAGATTCTATCAAGGATGTAACAAAGAGCTAAAATCAATAATGGTCACACTAGTCTTACTTAGTAGTCTTTATAATCATCATGACATGGCAACATGAACTGATATACGTGCGTACGAAGTTCTAAATTGCTATTGATTGATTGATATATTTTTGATGGGAATGTCATATGTTATGATTTTGCTCACAGTTAAACTTTATTCATTCTTATTCCTGTAACCATTATATGATCGCTTTTTTAGTTTTATACGATATTGTCAATTTTTGTCAACTGCATTTCTTGGTACTCATTTCTAGTAAAGGATTGGTTTTCGATCATAGGTGTCTCTGAAGCATTGCTCGAGTATCGTGGGACAGCCGAGTAAAAGCAATGCTGTCGTTAGGAAACTAGTTCTAGGTAAGAATGGCAGATCAATAGATGAAGTATTGAAACTTCATCAGTTGAGGTGATTAGGACATGTGTTACGAATGTCTAACCACCGACTGCCTCGTCGAGCTATATTTGGCGATGTAGGAATAGGTTAGAAGAAAGCCAGTGGCGGCCAAACCAAAACATGACAGAAATCCATGAAATCGCCAACAAGTGGAATGAATCATATTGGTAGATATCGACTACCTGGTTTGGGGTTCACGAGACGAAAGTCACGAATCGTTAGACGCATTCATTCCTCCTGTTCTCTCAGATCATAACTTTCTGAATTCCTTATCACTATCTTTCTATGTTTATTCCACTAGATTCTACTTCTTGAATAATATCTTCGAACCCTAATCTCTCTTATTACTGCTAATAACTTTACTACCCCTACTACTATTGGATTTGAAGTGACAATTACATCTTTTTGCTAATGTGGTGTGGCAACATGAACTGTTGTACGTACGTACGATGTTCTACGTTGCGAATGACTGATTGATTGATTGATTTTGTGTCATGAATAAAATTTTCAAATATCGAATATAGGTTTTCAAAAATCTGATAACACCTGGTTTCCATTTTTATTTTCAGTTATGTTGTTGAGGTATTTTTTGATTTATTGCATGTTTATTATCACATATATATATGTTATCTCAGCCTTTTTATTGAAATGATACTTATTTGTTTATCAATATACATTTTTTTTGTTTCCATAACTTTCATTTTGTTGCATGTTATCGGTTTTACTTAGATTTCAGATTCAGAAATCCACAGTAATGATACCGCAGCAGTTAGTATTACCAGCATTGATGATTCATCATCATTGGCTGGTTACGAGTTTTCTAATCAAATGCTGTTGCCAACATTTTTCTTAAATACACTTGGTCAAAATTGCTTACGGAGAATATTGCATAGTATTTTTATTGAGCGTCCTGAGCTTGTTTATGCTCCACAGTTATGGCCATTGACAGCATTATTTCTACATTATATGCCTATTACAGTTGTATATAAATGTATACTAACTTTATTGGATCAACCTGGTGTTTTGATTCAGACAAAATCGGACTGGAAAGAGCATTGTTTGTCATTAGAAGAGTTGGCCTATTTATGTAATCTATTACGAAGAGACAATCGGAAACCTACTATGTTGTTGGCATCTAAATCAAATGAGAAAAATGTTCGTACTGCATGTAAAGAAGATGGAAGACAGCTTCAGTTGGCCCGTTGGTGTTTATTACTTTGGAAGTTACCTTTTGAGCATCTTGTTTGTTTAATCGATAGCTTTTTGTTAGAAGGACCAAAAGTGTTCTATCGTGCCAGTTTAGTCGTAAGTCTGTTTTTTATGATTGGTTTTATATTATCTGCGTTCACGATTAATTGATACTACTACATATACATAACGTAAATTTGTCTAATGAAAACTAATTTATTTATGCAGTATTCATAACTGTTATCATTTACTTTATTTTAGTATACCATTCATCATAAATATGCTTTTTTAGAAGTACATAGAATCACTATTATGATTTGTGTCTCTAACTCAATGTTCCTTTCTTTTTTTTTAATTCGATCTTTCTTAATAAATCAACCACTTAAAAGTTAAAAACATTTGACTGGCTTCAGAACCTCATTAAGTCATATGTGTTAGTTTTAGACTTAAGTTTCATGTTAGTTAGGAATCATCAGCAAGAAATATATACATAATGAAACAAACTGATACTCCTCTTAAGATATTGAAACTGTATCACTTAATTTCATAGTTAGAAACCTCATCATTGAGTTATTCGAACTGCGATTGATTTATTGTAAAATTAAGATATTTACATTGATTACCCACTGGGTAGTAATGTCATATTTTTCTAATGCTTACTGCTCAAGTGCTTTATCTCACACCGGAAACGAGTCAAGTCTCACCAGATAAAATGCGGCCGGCTGTCAACAATCGGGAATATCTAAAATCGATCTCATAAATTTCGTTTGTCTACATTGAACATAATCAATCAATTTAGTGTTTGCTTGTCTCCTAGTCTACATGAAGTTGAGAAAGCTATAGGAAATCTAAAGTGAGGTAGAGCAGCAGATCCTGATAGGCTTACCCCTGAGATGTTTAAGGATGGTGATCCAGTTTTAACAGTTAGACTGACCGAGATCTTAGGTAGAATCTGGGAACCGGATGTTATCCCATCCGAGTTGTCTCAATCATTGATTGTCCCAATCTATAAGAAAGAACACAAGTCGTCTTGTGACAATCACAGGGGAATAGGTCTAACTAATATAGTTTCTAAATTGTTAGCCTCGATTATACTTAGACGTCTAACTAGAACTCGAGAAAACCAGGATGGTTTTCGACCTGGACGTGGTTGTATAGACCACATTTTCACACTAATACAGGTTCTGGAACACAGACACACATTTAGGCGTCCTACAATAGTTGTTTTCCTGGACTTTAAGGCGGCATTTGACTCAGTGAATCGTGAGGTTCTGTGTCAGTGTCTGTCATTGAAAGGTGTCTCAAAGAAGTATATTAGCTTTATACAGGCTCTCTACTCGAACGCGATTGTTCGAGGGTGAGAGCCTATGGCGAACTGTCATTTCACTTCTCTACTTCAAGTGGTTTTCGTCTGGGCTCTCCACTCTCTCCATTCTTGTTTAACTTTGTCGTAGACATCCATTTAGAGTTAACATAATCCTCGTCAGATTTTTCAGGGGTTGACCTTCTACCAGGAGGATCGCTTGCTGACCCAGAATATGCCGATGACATATTCCTACTTGGTGAAGACGCTGTCAAAGTGCAGAGTCTTCTGATTACCCTAAGCAACAATGTAAGCATGTTCGGGATGCGGACTGGGTTGCATTGACACCTGAACTAGTGATAATGAGTAAAGTAGTCAAACGTGTAGACCGCTTCACTTATCTGGGGAGTCTCATCAGTGCTGATGGCCTGGTGACTGACGAAATCTCAGCTCGGATACAGAAAACTCGATTTGCTTTTGCCAACCTGCGTCACTGATGGCGTAGGCGAGATATGCGTTTGCTGACTAAAGGACGAGTGTACTTTGAAGTGGTTGGCTCCGTCTTACTTTATGGCTGTGAAACATGGCCAGTGAGAGTAGAAGATATTCGTAGGTTACTGGTTTTCGATCAAAGGTGTCTTCGAAGCATTGCTCGTATATCGTGGGACACCCGAGTGAGCAAAGCTGTTATTGGAAAACGGGTGCTAGGTAAGAATGGCAGATCAATAGATGAAGTATTGAAACTTCATCAGTTGAGGTGATTAGGACATATGTTACGAATGTCTAACAACCGACTGCCTCGACGAACTTTGTTTTGTAGTGTAGGAATAGGTTGGAGGAAAGCTAGGGGCGGCCAAACCAAAACATGGCAGAAATCCATGAAGTCATTGACGAGTGGACTAAGTGATGTCGGTGCTTGTCGACTACCTGGTTGGGGTCCGCGAGATGATAATAATCGATGGTTAGAGACCTTGTATGACATGTCTCAAAACCGTTTGCAAGGGCGCCGATGAATTTATTCTTTGTGTTCTCTCAAATCCTAATCTTCTGGGTTTTTCAACCCCTCTAGTTCTGACTTTCTAAACTTTTCTCACTGAATCATACTTCTTGTATAATATCTTCTAATCCTAACCTCTGCGATTACTTCTAATACCTTTACTACCTCTTCTACTATTGGATTTGAATTGACAGTTACATCTCTGTGCTGATGTGGTATGGCAACATGAACTGATGTACTTACGTACGAAGTTCTACGTTGCATCTGACTGACTGACTGACTGACCCCTTCATTTTTTTAAAATCATTATTTTTTCTGCTCTTTCATTCATATTATAGATTTGATCTGTTTTGTTCAACAAAACTAGTATTCTTTCTTTGTCTGACTTATTTATGATCAAGTTGTTACATTTTTTCAAGTTTATGTAAAGCATCTCCATGTTGTTTAGTAAGTGGAAAATTCACTAAATATTTATCATTTTTGTATTGTTGGTAGCTGTTAGTCAACTAGTGTGGTCTTAAATCTAGTTAGCTTCTCACAAACTTCTACAAAGGAGCTCACTTGGTAATAAACCCTTATTCAAGCTCCGATGCTTATAGAAATCTCAGGTATTCTATAATTTTCACTTTTTAAAACCATCTTCATGTTGAATCATTTCTAAAAACATTAACTATTATACAGATCATGTTAATTTTGTTTCTTTTTTGGAATTTTATCGTTTAGATTCTTAAAGCCTCTTTATCTGGAAAGTATTCAAAACTTAATTGTGCAACCGGCGGAATCAAAAGGGATATTGATGGTAATTCTCCAGCGTTTATGTATGATGAAGAAACATTCAAACATGTTCCATTGACACCATCGAAGTTAATGAGAAAAATGTTCTCATTACATGGTTTGAGTCGCACAAAGATTGCTCAGGCAGTTAAGAATGTTCAATCTCTTCTAGGTAATTTTTACTCAATGAACAATATATGAACTATTCATAATATAACCATATTCATATTTTAAGGTTAGGAGTTTTTTCTCGGTGAATGTTTTTACTGTAAAACAAAACACTTCAACTACACGATAAATTAATGTTATCGACATGGCAGCTGGCCACAAAAAATAATCTAGTCTTTATAAACATCCTTACACCAGAAATAAACGCTATGAAAGTGCTAGTTTATTAATCAATCAGTCGCATGCATGACGGAAGTCATTTCTCGCTATGGGTCGTTACTGATTATTGAGCGATAAATGGGATACCTAGCTTGTAATTAGTATATAGACTATTGTTGTATGTGAACCATTGATTTCACTAATCCTGCTCTCTATTTGACACCGTATACCTGGTTATATTTTATGTTAATCAATGGTTATTCTGGTCTATAATCTGGTTTTAAACTATTGGTCGAATGTTATGTATTAGTGTAGCATGTGGTCTAATTATCTGATTGTATCAAGTAGTACTATTTGATCGCTAAGTTTATAAACGTGAAACTATATTTTCCTAAATTTATATTATAATGATTTATGGCGAACTAGTCCAACAATGTAATAAACTGTTCAATAAGATTAATCGTATCATACATCAATAAAGATTTAAAATGTACAATAAAAAATATTTGTGCAGTAATTGTATTTTCTCCCGATCTATTGTTATATATATAGTTGAATATCCTAATTTTACCTCAACAAATTCATTGAAATATATTTGTTGTGATCAGTAAAAATGTCACTATGTATTGTTCTATCAAGTCTTAATAATTAACTACACATTGGGACATCCCCTTTTAATAAAGTTAAGTTGATAATTATTCTTAAATCAACTAAAATTATATATATATATATATATATATATATATGACTCAAGTCTTAATTCAATTATTTTTAACTTTTTTTATTTAATAAAAGTGAATTTCGATGTTGACAAAGAGTTAATCCAACCGTGTAATAAAAGTGGAAAGAATACATTCGCTGCTTACTTACTTGGTGATGATGCTGAAAAACAAATTCATCCATCTGAGTGTATATCAAGTAACGAGTTAGCTTTAATAATCACATCAGTTGATGATCGTAAATTTTCTTGCTTATTCAAACCTTATCGAATATTTTCATCTAATATAGATGGTAATAGCTTGCGTACATTTTATGCTAAGGCAGCAGAAGCAGAGAATCCTGCAACAATTCTATTAGTACGCAGTTCATCAAGAAATAGTATTATTGGAGCTTTTTGTTCAGACAGATGGCAACCTCGTGTTGAATCTGTTTACTATGGAAATGGTTTATGCTTTCTATTTCGTATTAAACCTGGTCCATTTACTATATATAGATGGATTGGATCAGGTTCTGATGATGAAAAAATTATACATTCCATACAATATCAACGTTTTCAACGAGCTTCAAATAATGGTATAGAACTTGGTGGCAGTGTAAGTAATGGACCTCCAGGTTTAAGCTTGGATAATTGTCTCACAATGGCTTCAAGTGGTCCAACATTAACTTTTTCTAGTCCATGCTTAATTACTGATCCAATTGATCTAGCACAAACAATTCAATGCGAAAATGGACAAATCGGTTGTATGTTCAATGTTGGATTAGTTGAACTTATAGGTTTTCATGATCTCTAAACTGTTTAAAATTACATATTAATAATTAGATTTGTCTTTAATTGATTTTACAATAGTTTTCTAAAATATAAATTTTGCTTGATATGTCTATCTCTTATGTAGTTAGTTAGGTTTTGTTATGTATGGTGTGAAAGAGAGATTTATTATGATTTTCTTTTGTTTTTTTTCTTAACACTCTGTATTTGTTTATTATTTGTCTTTGTTATACACTTACAATTAATTTAGTCTTACAAAATACACTTGGATTATTTATAATCTAATGTTAAGTGAAAAAAAGTCCTAGATGAAGAACGCACATCGTAACTAATAATTATGCATATTTATTTACTTATCTCTTTTTTAAAAAAAAATCAACAAAGCAACACTTGTAACTACTTACCAGAACTTTTACTGCTATCGCCACTATTTATTTACCTTCATTACAACCTGTCTTATGTGCAATTTATTATTATTATTTATTGTCAATCATGTGCAAAACTCATTTATTTTGTTATTTACTATTTGTTTGTCTCTAGTCATATTCTCTTGCTCAATTATACTGATATATATATAATTTAATGATATTTATTCGAATGAAGAAAACTTATTTACTGCTTGATAGAAATTTATATTTTACATTTTGAATTTTTTGCACATTCCTGTGTTTCTCACTCATTAAAACGTCACAATATTATCTATGTATTTGTTTTTAATACATTTTAATTTTAATATTATTTAGTTATGTTAATTAAACAATGAATAGTAATTATTTTGGTATGTAGCTTCTTCATAATTAGCTAAATGAACATATATTACAGTTGTTACACCTTAATTATTACAGAGAAATCGGAAGACAAATAGAATTCATTTAGAAAGCAAATAAATGTCTTTACATTGTAATTAAATCAACAGTTGATTTTTAACTAGAAGCAATGGCAAGCAAAAATGACCTTTTGGATACTCAATTGAAAATAAGACTTGAACATTGGTTAACTATTTATGTATTTTAAAAACTAATCAGTTTTTACTCAATTCCTTAACATGGTGGTCGGACTTGCCTATCGCGATGATCCAATTGAGCTATATTGGCTGGAACATATGTTCCTGAAGGTTCTATCATACCAGGCAGGTCGGTTGGAGAACGATGCAACTAAAAGAAGCTACTCAAGGTCTGAGTGCAAAGTCGTACTGCTGACTGTAAAGGGGTGTGACAGCAGTAAAGTGTTTCCCTCGGACAACCAGCATCTGCAGAGATGCTGCCTTCTCACAAGAAAGGTCGGGTTAGAAAAGGTCGACCCTAAAAACGTAACACCTCATCCCACCTCAAGGATTTCGTCTCCGGCGTTAAGGGCTGCCCACTAAGGGCTTTTAAGAGCAGTGCTAATACTCAAAAAACCTTTAGGCCGTACGTGACCGACCTCAAGCAGTTGTCCCTTGGATTCTGCGGTCACGCTCCCAGGTCGCTGAGACCAACACTAATCTGCCTTCTTTTTCAGGTTCCTCAACAACTACCCATAGTCTGAGCAGCCAGGAAGTGACGACCGCCCTCATACCCGTAACAGCATGCGAGACCAAATTGGTCGAAATCAAATCCTTCCTACACCCCCTAATATCTCACATTTCTCCACGAATAACTATTCTCATGTTCCTCTATCAGCCTACACCGCTAATGCAAACGATGCGAGTTTACGAAACGTCATTTCTGGTCTTTTGAAACCTCGTTCTAGACTACATGTTGGAGCATTTAATGTACGGACATTGTGTCAAATAGGGCAACAGGCTTCATTAGCTAGGACTTTAGAATCTCGCGCCATCGATGTACGCTGCGTCTCGGAAACGCGCATGCAGGATCCTAGTAAAGTCATTAATTTGATTTCATCTTGTCAAAATAAAGAAGCAGCTCGATTTACTCTTCGTGTATCCGGTAGCCCTGATGCTGCTTCCAGGGGTCTCGCTGGCGATGGTATAGCATTAGGTCGTAGGGCAGAACTAGTTCTCCTAGACTGGATCCCAGTAGATAGTCGCTTGTGCGCTGTCCGACTGAACGGGAAAGATAGGGACACTCGCCGTCGCCTCTTCGTCGTATCTGCCTATGCACCCACTGATTGTAGTTCACACGATGTGAGAGATGAGTTTTACAGAAAGCTTTCGGACCTCCTCCAACAAGTTAGGCACTCTGATGTAGCAATAATGGCTGGTGACTTTAATGCTCAAGTAGGTAGACTAGGTGAAAAGGAAAGACATCTTGGTGGATGTTATGGTGTAGCGACTGAGAGAACAGACAATGGAGACCGTCTGTTGCATCTATGCTCAGATAACCGCCTATTCCTAGCAAACACTAACTTTAGACATAAGGAAAACATCCTTTGACCTGGCGACCCCGAAAGTCGTATCAATGTTGGACCCAACTAGAACACATTGCCATCAGCCACCGATGGAGAGGTTCAATGGAGGACTGTCGCTCGTTCTGGAGCACATGTTTCGATTCAGATCATGCTCTAGCACGAGTGCGTATTTGTTTGCGACTTACCGGACGTAGGAACGACACCGCAAGGAAACCTCTTAGGGTTCTATCTAATGACAACAGAGCTATAAACAAATTTCAGGAGACACCATGTAAGTGATTCATATCCGAAGGCAGGTTGGAATGATATCAAGAAGGCTGTGGAAACAGCAGTGACATCTGCTAGTAAGGTTAACCATAAGGCTACAATGAAGCTATGGATCTCTGTAGCATCCACCGATCTGATGGATGCACGAAAACTCATCCCACCTGGCTGTGAACATGATGAAGAACGAAGTCAGCTTAAGCACTGATAAGAAGCCTACGCAATGATCGCGAACAGTGGTGGGTAGCGAAAGCGAGAGAGATGGAAAAGGCAGAGGCAATAGCCGACTACTAGGCTTATCAAGGAAATCGGTTTTAGCGAAACTATCTCAGAAAAGGATGGCGCTATTATTCATTCTCAATCCAGGAGATTGGATCGATTCGAAGAACACTTCATGGGTCAGTTCAACTGGCCTTCACCCACACTTCGGTTGCCGAAGATCTCCAGTCATCATGAGTGTTAAATCGTCTCCTCCTAGTCTACATGAAGTTGAGAGAGCTATAGGAAATCTAAAGCGAGGTAGAGCAGCAGATCCTGATAGGCTTACCCCTGAGATGTTTAAGGATGGTGGTCCAGTTTTAACGGTTAGACTGACCGAGATCCTAGGTAGAATCTGGGAAATGGACGTAATCCCATCTGACTGGTCTCAGTCGCTAATTGTCCCAATCTACAAGAAAGGACAGAAGTCCTCTTGTGACAATCACAGGGGAATAAGTCTGACTAATATAGTTTCTAAATTGTTAGCCTCGATTATACTTAGACGTCTGACTAGAGCTCGTGAAGAGCAGACTTGAGGAAATCAGGCTGGTTTTCGACCTGGACGTGGCTGTATAGACCACATCTGTGTCAGTGTCTGTCATTGAAAGGTGTACCAAAGAAGTACATTAGCTTTATACAGGCTCTCTACTCGAACACGATTGGTCTAGTGAGAGCCTATGGCAAACTGTCATTGCGCTTCTCTACTTCAAGTGGTTTTCGTCTGGGCTGGTGACTGACGAAATCTCAGCTCGGAAACAGAAGGCTCGATTGGCTTTTGCCAACCTGCGTCACTGATGGCGTAGGCGAGATATCGGTTTGCTGACTAAAGGACGAGTGTACTGTGCATTAGTTCGCTCTGTCCTACTTTATGGCTGTGAAACATGGCCAGTGAGAGTAGAAGATATTAGTAGGTTACTGGTTTTCGATCACAGGTGTCTTGGAAGCATTTCTCGAGTATCGTGGGACATCCGAGTGAGCAACGCTGTTATTATGAAACGGGTGGCAGGTCAATAGATGAAGTATTGATGTTGAGGTGGTCGGGATATGTGTTACGAATACCCAACCTTCGACTGCCTCGACAGGGTATGTTTTGTGGTGTAGGAGTGGGTTGGAAGAAAGCTAGGTACAGTCAAACGAAAATACGGCAGAAATCCATGAAATCGTTAACAAGTGGAATGAATCATGTTGGTAGATATCGACTGCCTGGTTGGTGCCCGCGAGACTATAGTAACCGATGGTTAGAGATCTTGAATGACATGGCTCAGAACCGTTTGCAATGGCGCAGGTGCACGCACTCTTTGTGTTCCCTCAAATCCTAATCTTCTGGATTATACTTCTTGAATAACATCTTGGACCCCTAATCCTCGCTATTCCCAGTAGTACTCCTACTATCTCTACCACTATGGGATTTGAATTGACAGTTGAGTCTATGTGCTAGTGTGGTACAGCAACATGAACCGATGTACTTGCATCCGAAGTTCTACGTTGCATCTGACCGACAACATTTAAAAATAGTAAACTAATTACTTAACAATAATGACAAATGAACACTAATGCAGTGTCATTCACTGGAGCCTCAAAATCTGACGCGTCATTCAAGTTCGAAGAAATACTTCGGCTGCATAAATTCATTTGGCATGTTTTGTAAAGTAACATTAATTTACATTGAATAAACAGTTAACTAGTTGTTGATTGGTCAGAAACATGATTAGATGAATACAACGTGAGTACTTTAGTGAAGTTCACAAAGAAATAAGTGACTACAAAACCTAGAGCATCCTACAAGGATGAAAAACAAAATAGTCACTTCTTATAGCTTTCATACACGAAACTTTCTCACAAACTGATACCTTTCAGGTTAAAAATGGATATTGATTGTTCGACTTTACTTCCAAAAATAAACAGCTATTGAAAAAGCAATTACAGATACTGTTGATTATTTTTGAAAAATTTGTCACATGACTGATCTCTTGTCGAACATAAACTATCCCGTCAACTTTCCGTTCGAATGGTCCTACCGTTTAATACAGTTATTTCTGCATAGAAAAAACGAAACAAATACGAGGGATTTTACAGTAAGACTAATTAGGGTGGGTGGGCGGAGAGTTTGAGTTACTCTTAAACAAATTACGTTATGTATTGGTATGACAATGTCAGATATGACTGCAGAACGTGACTAAGATCGTATTCATATGGTTGGAATCTCATCTATTTCTGGTTAGAAAAATACCTACTATGTATTCTATTGAATAAAGTACAGACAAAATTAGGAAGTTAAGTAATGTCCGCTTAAGTTTGATTTAACCACAAGGAAGCAGTGTACAATCTGAGTTACTTATTTTCAATACATAAGTCCCGACTGTGTTCAAAAGTCTAAGCGTTTGTATGTGTGATGGCCCTAGGTTGAATTTTTAGCAGCAGGGTCGTGGATGTGCCCGTGTTAGGATGTAACTGACATCGAGTGTTTTCAATGGTTGTCCAAGTTAGATCGGTCCGTGGTTTCAGTAGAATTTAACAATCTCCACAACCTTACTTTTTTAAAAAATACTTCATACTCGGTGGACAAATCATAGGTAGATAACTACAACCTCTGGGATAATGCACTAAACACATACTTATCAATATTCAGTACCCGTAGTTAATGACTTGCAGTGGCTGAACTAGTGTTTGGAGGTATACACTGCATATGAATTTCTCATAGGCCAGATATAACACTCCCTACAAACTGTTAAAAAGAACTATAAAGCCCATTAGAGGTAAGGAGCAAGAATAAAATCTTTTTTATAATAAACAGAGATTAAAGAAGTTGAGATCTCAACAATCAATTTCTCCATGAAAGTCGGGGATTGAATATATTGAATGCATGATATTTTCCTTCTACCTCAGGTTGTCAAGGTTTTTCCAAGGAGACATCCCGAGGTTTCATTCTAGCTAAGGATTGTGCTCATGAGAAAGTGCCAACTTAATGTTGGGTTCAATCCATTTTTTGTAAATTTCTGTTAGATTAACGACACACCACTGAACTAAGAAGA